AAAAAAAAAAAAAAACTGTACTCATAGGACTTGAGCCCATGTACCCTGCTTTCATGTTTATATTAAGGACAGCAAGCCACATCAAGAGCAAAGACAACATTCAGATATGAGTAAACAGTACAGAGTTCCCTGGGGCAAAAGAAATTGTGTGTTCAAGATTCTGTAATCATTTTATGGACTCAAAAGGTTACCAAAAATAAAACTATAGTACAGCACGCCCAAACAAAGAAAAGAATCTTTAAATGTCTTTTTTTTCCCCCCCTGCACACATAAACCATCACTGTTTTAATGATTCTTTGCTTTCATGAGAGCTGCCTTGACTTGGACCCTTTCACCAGTTTGGTTTTCAGGGGTTTCTTCTCCACATCAACAGTATTTTGGCTTAGTTGTTTCTGTGTTGACAGTAGGTTTATTTCCTGTGTGTTTTGTGTGTGACTCCACTTCTGGCTTCTCTGTTCTACCTACATCCTAGATGTCGTGGATTCTTCTCTGTGGAGTGACCTCAGCAGTGATGCCCAGGAGCTGGAGGCAGAATCTTGGAGCCTGGTGGTGGATCCCTCGTTTTGCAGTAAGCAGGGGAAGGATGTCATCAAAAGACAGGATGTCATTTTTGGTAAGCATTTAAAATATGCTCTTGGGGCTGATGCATTGTGGTATAGGGGAAAGAGCATGAAATTTGCAGTCCTCCGGACCTGGGTTCAAATCCTTGTTCTCTCTCTTTTTATCTACTTGGTCTCAGACAGATGATTTAACTTGCCTGGATCTTAGTTTCTCTGTCTTTATTTAAAAAAAAAAAAATTTTTTTTTGACATTTATTTTTGAGACAGAGAGCATGAACAAGGGAAGGTCAGAGAAAGAGGGAGACACAGAATCTGAAACAGGCTCCAGGCTCTGAGCTGTCAGCACAGAGCCTGACGCGGGGCTCGAACCCACGGACTGCGAGATCATGACCTGAGCTGAAGTTGGACGCTTAACCGACTGAGCCATCCAGGCGCCCCAGTTTCTCTGTCTTTAAAATGGGGATAACAATGGGGCGCCTGGGTGGCTCAGTTGGTTAGGCATCTAACTTTGGCTCAGGTCATGATCTCACAGTTTGTGAGTTCAAGCCCCGCGTCGGGCTCTGTGCTGACAGCTCAGAGACTGGAGCCTGTTTCAGATTCTGTGTCTCCTTCTCTCTCCACCCTTCCCATGCTCAAGCTCTGTCTCTCTGTCTCTCCCCAAAATAAATAAACATCAAAAAAATTTGCTTTTTAAATGAGGATAATGATATTCAGGTCTAACTGTTGTGAGGCTTACCTGAGGCATCGTATGTACCTGGTGCAAAGCAAATTTTATGTCTCAGACCTTTTAAAGTTTACTTAAATGTGGCCTATACGACTTCTCTTTTAAGAACCACGGGAAATTTTCACATACTTTCATGTAGGGCAGATGGGTTTCTTTCGCTTGGTGTATTGTTTTTGAGTTTCATCCTTACTGTTTATCAATACTTCATTCCTTTTTATGGCTGTATGTTATTTCATTGTAAATATACTACATTTTGTTTTATTATCAGTCAAAGGTCATTTTAGCAGTTGAGGGTCCTTTTGGGCCGTTTGCACTTTTTGGATCATGTAGTAACTTTACGTTTAACCTTAAGACGAACTGCCAGACTGTTTTCCAAAGCAGCTGCACAGTTTGGCATGCCTGCCAGTGAGGTACTGAGGATTTTGCTTTCCCCACATCCTTACTAACTCTTCGTTATCGCCCACCCTTTTTATCACAGTTTGCCTAGTGTGTGTCACGTGGTGTCCCATTTTGGTTTTGATGTGCATGTTCCTGCTGGCTAATCAGGTCAAACATCTTTCCATGTGCTTATTGGTCATCTGTCTATATCTTTGGAGAAATAGCTTTTCAAATCTTTCTCACATATTAAAGTGGGCTTTTTGTTTTTTGTTTGTCTTTTTACTCTTGAGTTGTAATAGATCTTTTTCATCTCTGGACGCAAGTCCCTTTTGAGATATTTTTCTTGCATTGCCTTTTTTTTTTTTTTTCCAGTCCATTTACTGGAAATCCCAATACTGCTGTTTCCTTAGAAGCTTAATAGTGTCATTGGCAGGCACACTTTATTAAAAATTGCTGTGTGAAAATCAAGGTCATTGTTTCCATGTTCCTTGTGGTATTTACATCATCATTGCCATAGCCGTGCAACCTGATCATACACATTTTTCTTGAACATCTCCACTTGGTAGAAGTTCTCTCTTTCTGTAGACATTGCCTTTTAATTCTGTTCATCTGTGCTAAGATCTGAAATTCCTCCCCCCCTAGTTTCTGTCTATGGGCTCCTCCAACATAAAAAGTCTGATCTGTCTCCCTAGGCCTGCCCTTGGGAGTATTAGCACCAGTATTAGCCCCTCTTGTATGCCAGGCATTAAGTCTAGAAACCAGGGAAATAGCCGTGAACAAAATGTACAGATTTTCTTCTCGTGTGAACTTGTTGGGGGGAGACACTACAGTGTAGGACAGAAAATCTGTAAAATACTCAATAGAGTGTGTGTGGTAAGTGCTGAGAAGAAAACAGAGTAGTGGGCCATATCGAACACGGGGACATGGGTATTAAACGTTGGGGTCTACAGGGAGATTTGAGAGACCAGTAATACTTCAAGAGAGCTGGGGGACTTGGGGAAGGAGTTAGATCTGGGGAGAAAACATACCAGGTGGTTGGAACAGCAACCATGGAGGCCTTGAGATAGCATGTGACATTCTCTCATTCTCTGGGCTGTCTTTTCATTTTCTCCATGGTTTCTCTTCCTTGATCATCACGCTTTTTTTTTTCTCCTGGAGAAAGTGGAATTTTGGCAACAGATCCAATGACTGTTATATGCATTAAGGAGCCTTATTATTTCAATTCAGTTTAATTTAATGGAGTGCTGCTACTCAATGCAAAAACCAAAAAGCCAAAAAACAAAGAAAGAAAAAAACCAGGCAAACTAAGTTATATTTTCATAGAGCGTTTAGGGGAATGGAAGACCTGGTTCCTAGCTAAAGGTGCCTAGTTCATTACATTTTGCTAGCTAATTATGTCTCAGTTTTAGATGAACGGGATTCTTATGTATGGGACTTCACTTATGTGTATCATTTTCACATATCTGGAAAAAAGAAAATGGTTTAGTATTTCGAGCTTGCATTAATTGTTGAGTCAATGCTGACTTTTATGGTGGAGGAATATCATTGTTCCAAAACATCACCTCTTTTTTTGTTTTTTTGGTTTTGTTTAATTTGTATAACGTTTAGTGTTTAGCCACTAATGTCAGTGGGTGGAGTACTTGCTCATTAAAGCTTGTGTCTGCGCATGTGTTTCAGAGCTGATGCAAACAGAGATGCATCACATCCAGACCCTGCTCATCATGTCCGAGATCTTCAGGAAAGGGATGAAGGAGGAGCTCCAGCTTGATCACAGCACCGTGGATAAAATCTTTCCTTGCTTAGATGAGTTACTTGAAATCCACAGGCATTTCTTTTCTAGTATGAAGGAGCGAAGGCAGGAGTCCTGTGCTGGTGATGACAGAAATTTCATCATCAATCGCATTGGAGATATTCTGGTACAACAGGTGAGAGAGGTTTTTAAAGGCCCTAACGTCAAACACCTGGAGGTTTGCAGACTTTCCACAATGTGAAAGCCTATGAAGAACTGGAATTGATTTTTTTTTTTTAAACCATTATTGGCAGATGGGATTGCTTGGTTTTCTTCTGTTGGATATGCCTTTGTGTGCCTGATAGCCAAGAGCTTTGACAGCCAGGGACTGACTTGTGTGTGTCTCCAAACCTGTCATCCTTGTCACTGTCTCCACCAGGAGTCACAGCCATAAATAAGTCTATTAGGAAAATTCTGCTTAGACTTTTTGATCTATGATAACACG